TGATTAATGATATGCTAGGAAGAATACTTATAAAATAGTTTATTTCAAATTTCAGATTTTTTTTTTGAAAGAAACTCAAATTGTAATAAGTAAACAAATAATTGAAGTATTCTAAACTTATTTTTTCCAGGAGAACATTCTCTTTATCAAGGAATCTTGAATGCCAGATAGGTTTCATCTCTTGAATACAAAATGCATTATATACTCTTGGTAAAATTAAAAACTCAGAGGCTGAGCCAAAGTCTTAACATTATATCTAACCTTTTGTGCATTTACTGAATAACTAAAATATGTTCCACTATATAAAAAGAATGCTAAAAAACAAACAAAAACACTAACAAAACAGGCATTATCACAAACCAACTGGTTAAACAGGTCTTTACCCTTTCTTCTTACCTGAATTCTACTGGATAACATTAGCATGGGGGAAGAGAGAGAGAGAGAGAGAGAGAGAGAGAGAGAGAGAGAGAGAGAGAGAGAGAGAGAGAGAGAGAGAGAGAGAGAGAGAGAGAGAGAGGAGAGAGAGAAGAGAGAAGAGAGAAGAGAGAAGAGAGAAGAGAGAGAGAGAAGAGAGAGAGAGAAGAGAGAGAGAGAAGAGAGAGAGAAGAGAGAAGAGAGAAGAGAGAAGAGAGAAGAGAGAAGAGAGAAAAGAGAGAGAAGAGAGAAAAGAGAGAAAAGAGAGAAAAGAGAGAAAAGAGAGAAAAGAGAGAAAAAGAGAGAGAAAAGAGAGAAAAAGAGAGAGAAAAAGAGAGAAAAAGAGAGAGAAAAAGAGAGAAAAAGAGAGAAACAGAGAGAGAGAGAGACAGAGACAGAGACACAGAGAGACACAGAGACAGAGAGACAGAGACAGAGACACAGAGAGACACAGAGACAGAGAGAAACAGGGGAAGAGAGAAAAACTGGGAAAGACAGAAAGTTAGAAAGACATAGAAATAGAAAAAGACAGAAACAGACAGACAGAGACAGTGACACAGATATATACAAACTAACACAGAAACAGATAGAGACACTAAGAGAGAGAAAGGGAGAGGGAGAGAGCATGAATAAGAAGTACCATGTGGACATTTATAAACAGCATGGACACTGTTAGGGGTTGAGACATCAGAAGGTCATGATTCCAACCCAAGTTAGGTCATGCTGGCCTAACATCCTGTCCTACTTCTCTGTAACAACACATTATCCCACCCCTACCACCAGTTTACAGGAGTTAGAATAGTTAGAATGATTCTATAAATGAGTGCAGCCCTTAATCCCTTACTGAGGGATGAAGACAAGGGTCACAAGAAAATGGAGCTATCCTTAAGAATTGGAGCTAGCATGTTGTTGCAGAGACCTAACTTGGACATAGGTCATCAGGGGTTGCTTTTGACATTCCATATTGGTGGAGGCACAATTTGTAGTTGACCACATGGTACATACAGAAAGACAGAGTGAGTATGAGAGTCAGTGTGCTTATGTGTGAACGTGAGTGAGTGTAATAACTTTATTCAATAACTCTATTCAAGAACAAATTTTGCCACCTTTCTTCATTACCATTCTAAAACAAGTCACTAAGATAAATCTAATATGATATGAGTTTTTAAAGTAAATATATACACAACTTTACATGCCCCTACTGCACTAGCTAATATTAATCTTCAAGAAGCATAATACTAGTTACTGAAACTCTTTCACTGCAGGTCAGTTTCTCATAGTTTCTGAATCTAACTAATTTGATCATGTGAACTTACCAATTTTCTAAAAATGACAATAATTGTCAAAGTTACTGTTAGATACAAGTAACATTATGACCTGACTACTCTAGAAAACCCTTTTTTCACCTATAATATTTGCGGCTACATACCATTACACTAAAATCCTGTACATGAAGACATTATAGCTCACTGAAAGCAATTTACAGTTACTGAGCTATCTAATAGAGAAAGGATACAACACCAGTATAACTATCATATAGCTATGGTGAATTATCACCCAGTGCAATGTTCTTTGATTTTTAATCTTTACATGACACAGTATTCCTAACACCAATAATTTCACATTTTTTTGCATTCAAAGTCTAATAATATTCCTTCTCAACTTTCCAGCTAAGATTTAGTCGATCTTAGCAAAATTTTCCATAGTCATTGTTAGTAAAGTTTACAAACCACCCTAAAAATCTATTTACATGGCCATTTGCACAATGTATTGCAATGTTATTTGGGCCTCTACATTACAGATTCACTACACAAGAAATATTGCTTTTCACCATGATTGCCTATCTTTAGCTCTATTATCAGATATGATGACAATGAGACATCTTATGTTCCATATAAATATAAGATAATCCTACAATTAGCATTCAGTAAAAATGAAAGTGGCTTGCAATCTTTGTCTGTGCTGATTGCTCTGTTTTCATCATCATATATCTTCCTTCTGTAGCCCTATTTTTAGTAAAACTCACTAGCAATCAGTCTCATTCTCTTGGACTAGAATCTGGGACATCATCATGCTAACATTATGGTAATGTTGACATATGAAAATATGTATGTACAGAAGTGTGCCATGCATATGATTAAACATATGTGCATTTTAAAAAAATGTACATACATAGCATATTCTATGCTTAGCATTACTATTAACAGGCAGTTTTCCTAAAACATTTTCAGTCCTTAAAGGATGAATGGAAACCAAGCCGGAATAAAAAAAAAGAAAAAAAAATTATATCTATTTAAAAAAAATGTCATGCTTTTTGCCAGCAGCAATAAAAAAAATCACAATCCAATCAAAAAAGAACTAGTGGTGGAAGGCAGTGCTTATAAGGGGGAAAAGTCTGCTTCATCTGAACTCATCTACTTACTTTTTCCAATTTGTCATACTTTACATTTACTTTTTTTACTGTTTCCTCTTCTAATAAGGGTTCCATGCTGTTTCTTCTTTGTCTTTCTTTCCGTTGTTTCATCTGCATTATGGTGGCATGATTAGCAAAATCTATTTGTGCAGTCTAGGTATATTATACATGTTCTCAGGATATTTGATTTTTCCTTAATTGAACATTAAGATTTCATGTGCACCAAAGTCATTTTAACTTCACCTATAAAATATACCTTATCACAAGCAACAGGAAACAAATCTGTAGGATAAAGATATATAAACACCTTGAGTTAGTTGCACTCAATACACACTGATAATTGAAAAGGGGGGAAGATTCTAAGCTTACCCAAAAAGAGAATATAAGATTCCACTTCTGCTAGTATTTCTGAGTAGAGTCTCTGTATGAATCTTACTGATCACATCAGATTCTGCATAATTTTATACAAGAACATATGAGATCAGTTCTTCTGATGATGGATACAAAATTCACAAACAAATAAGCTAAATCTCCTAGCCACTATAAGCATCAATTACAAAACAACAACATGCTAGATTTAATAATTCCAGATGCTGTATAGCTTAGCACATAGGACAATATGATGAAAAACAATGAAGCATTCCAATATATTATCTGAAAAAATATTCTATTTTACATTTTCTATTTAGGCAAAGGCACCTACTTCCCATTGAATAAAACAATTTTCTATACAACTTCACATATTAAACCATGCAAAACTCTCACATCTTTGAACAACAAACAGCTTCTCTGTTAACCTCCTTAACCTCTCAAAGGTAACTTTCACCTTTAGTTCATTCTCATGTACCAAATAAATATCCCCAAAGCAAACTATTTTAGCTTCTCCTTTAACAAGATTCCAGCAATTCATGTTGCAACTTTAGATACAAAGCATTGAAATGAAACAAGTCAACTTTCATCTCACTGAATACAAACAAAAAAATATCACAGAGCACCTGTTTCCAAATGTTTGGAACATTCTACAAAAAAAAAACATTAGTTTCAAAACAGCTGCTCTAACAACACAAATTTTAAGTACTTTTTCTTTATAGATTTTATAAAGGGAGAAAACATCTTTCCTAATATGCAATAGTGAAGGTAGCTAGCATAGTACCCTTCATCTAAAATACTATCTTAAAGCAGTCAAAAGTTTCAGCTTGCTGTATTCAGTATGATTTACTTCATATTGATTACAGCAAAAATACATTTTATTTCTTTGAGATCCTAGACATAATCATGGTTCTCTGCTATGTAAAATTTATATAAAGAAGATATACTATTCATACAAGAAATCTGTCTGAAATCAGAAGACCCATCTAACAGTAAAACCATGGTCTATCAAGTTTCTCCTTTCATTTCAAAGCAGGATATTTGTCTGCTAGTCTCCTAGATATAGGAAACACGCATCTTCATTTGAAACAAAGGTCATAAACTTGTAACATAAGAGCTAACAAAAACCTTTCAAATTACACAAAGTAGGTTTTTAATATTCTAAGAATGAAATCAAGCATTTATTTAAGCACTTCTCATTTCAATACACAGATTCACTTAAATACGGTATGAATTATATTGTATATAACTTGCTTCAGATAAGTAAGTCCTATCATAATGTAGTCCTCAGTTATACAGGTCACTAGAAATGCAACAAAATTAGTTCATATATAACAGCAATACTACTTTCTTTTAGTCAAGAGACTATATTAGTATCATCCAGACTTAACACAAACCATGCATCTCCATGTAAAAGATATAATATCTTCTTCCATGTATTATCCAATAAATCCTATTTCTTTCTCCCTACTATGTCAATAATAAACAGAACTTCAATTTAATATCATGCAATTTAAATAATTAAATAAGGAAGAGATGTCTAAGAAGGCTTCAAAAAACTACTGTAAACAAGCTTATGTTATCTACTTGGGTATATATGGCCTTCATACCATATCACTTTTGCCTTGGCCTGTGGTGATGCCCTAGCAGAGAGATGATGGGGGTGTGGCCCCAACACCTCTGCCATAGAGGGACTTGTAAGCTCTCCACAAGCCCTCTTGTGGAAATCTTCTGAAGCAGCAGCCACTACTGCAAAAGCACAGTGAACAAGGAGCCTTAGGGCACTTTGGTCTCTTATCAAGTTATCAATAAGAAATAAGCTAATCATCTGCTAGTTAAAATATTAGGAAAATACTCTAAACATCAATGAGATAAACAAAAAAAACATTATATCAAGACAAAATCTCAAGACTAAAACAAATTCAGTCAGATTCATAAGATAAGGGTTCAGTGAGCTTACAAGACTGTTGTGTTTAATATAAAAACTTAGTCTATCCAGATACTGTGGTTCTGTTTACATCTGCCCATATGGGCCATAGTTCAAGTAGAGTGGTCTTAGAAAACTAATATAATACATAGCAATCATTAAAATCATCCTTGGAAAGTATAAAATCATATGTACTATTATTGAGGTTACTGAGGACAAAGTCATAAACACATCAGCCTTTTGCAAACTAATATATAAATGAAGAAAAGAGATTGTTTGATATAAAATAGAACATAAAAACAGTGACTGGATATGTGTACTATAACTGAGGTTACTGAGGGCAAAAGATTGTTTGATATAAAATAGAACATAAAAACAGTGACTGGATATGTGTACTATAACTGAGGTTACTGAGGGCAAAATCATAAACACATCTGCCTTTTGCAAACTAATATATAAATGAAGAAAAGAGATTGTTTGATATAAAATAGAACATAAAAACAGTGACTGGATATGTGTACTATAACTGAGGTTACTGAGGGCAAAATCATAAACACATCTGCCTTTTGCAAACTAATATATAAATGAAGAAAAGAGATTGTTTGATATAAAATAGAACATAAAAACAGTGACTGGATATGTGTACTATAACTGAGGTTACTGAGGGCAAAATCATAAACACATCTGCCTTTTGCAAACTAATATATAAATGAAGAAAAAAGATTGTTTGATATAAAATAGAACATAAAAACAATGACTGGATATATGTACTATAACTGAGGTTACTGAGGGCAAAATCATAAACACATCTGCCTTTTGCAAACTAATATATAAATGAAGAAAAGAATGACTGGATATATGTACTATAACTGAGGTTACTGAGGGCAAAATCATAAACACATCTGCCTTTTGCAAACTAATATATAAACTAAGACACAAATTGTATGATATTATAAAAAAGAATATAAAAACAGTGGCTGTACCTGAAGTTGTAATGCACATGATATTAAAATTACTTTTCTTATTTTCAACTACTAATATTCCTATGACCACATTTTCAGAGAATGTATTTCATACATCTATCAGCAAGTTTGGGAGATGAGAGTGAGCAATTAGTCACCCTGTTTCTTATGGAGTTCTAAAATCTTATGAAAAAAAATAATGTTGGTCTTCTCTCCAGCACCATTTTGACATATTTTGCACATATTCTAATGCAAGCACTCACATACACATGCTGGCATCAGAGGCAATGTGAAGACCTTTTGCAGCTACTCACTATGATGAAAGGCCTGACTATTAGAATTCTTCAAATAAGAGTACAAGAGTATGTTTTGAAGTCTTTCTCACTCTAACACCATCCTTAACTCTTTTCCATATCACTCTTATCCCCCAGCATGGAGCATTTCACCTAACCGAGTGTGTTTCAAACCTCCCTATTTCAGCTAAAATATACCCTCATCATACAATATCCCCCACCTAGCCTTTTCTACCATGGACTGACATTACTTGCCTATGATGCAAGCCTGACTGATTGAGTGTATGTGTAAAATAGGACAGAGACAGGGGTCAGTAATACTTTTATTTTAAAAACTGCAAGATTGATTTACCAATAAATCTCACTGGTAAGCTTCAAGATGTATAAAGTATCTTTAGCAAAAACTTTATCATGGGAATATTTACATGTAGCATACAACAAATATTTGCTTTGTGCATCCTAAATCTATGTGCAACCACTGTATGAACCATCTGATATGTACCAAAGTTTTACCAATAATTTGAGTGACAATGATGTTATACAAATAAGCACATAATTTATGCAGCTAAATTCTATAATATATGTACCAGTATATGTTCCATTTCTTGAAGAAAGAAAAAAATTAAAGAAACCAAGGAAAAAACAACAAAAGAAATAAAATCTAGCAGCTTGAGCAAACATGCCACAGGATATTTCTCTATAGATACTTCTGTCTGCCTAGCAGCTGATTTGTAGGTTAAAGACCAGCTTCTTTCCACACATAATAAAATGGGGATGGTGGGATGCAATCCCATTTCATAAGACACTTGCACTACTGCTATTGTGTAACTTTTTTTTTACTGCCAACTTGCAAAGGAAATGCCACGGATGAAAAGTGTTTTCTATTTTATAGCTCTATCTATCTATCAATGTATTGACTGTTTATATTTTACCATATGGCAGTGTTAAGTCAAAACTAAGGTATATCACTGATACTAACATCGCAGTACCCAAAGACAATATTGGTAATTGTGAATAGTTCAGAATCTATACCCTCATCCTCTATCAGTGTAGGGCAAATATTCAGAATACCTTCCCATGACAAATCACATTGATAATGGTACTGATGGTTTCTTATCACTTTCTACTACCTAAATGTATAGAAATGCCTCAGTAAACCCCAATATCCACAATCTTGGCCTCAATAACCAGGGAGAATATGAATGGTAACAGGGAAATTATGGGGTAAATTACAAATAAGATACAGAGAATCTTTCAATATATAGTCAAATGTAGGGGGTTCTACCCCCTACAACCACCCCAGGGGGGCTACTGCCCCCCTACCCTCACCCTGGACAACAAAGAATCCATTACAAATGTAAAGCAGGATAGAGCCTTGGACAGATTCAACATCAAGTGCTCAAGCATGCAGGACATCCACTTTTCCCTGCAGGTAAACTCTCTACACATCAAAAGATCACATACAGATATAGGGGCACGGCAGACACTAACACATGGACCCATGGTTTGGAAAAAAAAATATCAGAAACTCTAATACATTCAAAAATAAATTAAAGGAACGTCTGTTTAATCACCAATGACATCAGGTTTCAAAATATAAGAATAGGCATGACTTATGTGTAGTCATTATTAATTCTATGTGTACCTTATATTGCACTGTAAAATCTCTTTCTATGTAATAAGAATAACCATTGTAACTAATGGAATAAAGTATTTTGAATCTGAATTTGGATTTGACTGCTGTGAACATGTGGAGGATTGTCTTCTACGTCAGGGGCTGGGGGCAGTAGTCCTATATGGGGTGGTCTCAGTAGACAATATAGTGACTTATTCTGTATATATTATAGTTGCCAGTTTACTATTCATATTTTACCCCAAAGTTTCCCTGGTACTTGTCATGCCCTCCCTGCTATCGGGGCCAAGAATGCGAGTGTTTGGGGGTTCCATGGCACAATAATCATGTATCTGTCTCCTGGTTGCCGAAAGGAATCCATCCGTACCAAAATTTTTACAATCAGTTATGTGAAGGTATTCTAAACAATTACCTAATCTACACTGAGCTCAAATATTGTAGCCAAAAGTTTAGGCTTAATAGCTGGGGAGTTAAAGAAGCATACTAGCTTAATTGAGTGGTAAGATCACAGAATGTCTGGAAGATACCCATGAACCATAAATTCATTAACCAAAATCCACTCTTACTGACATGTAATTTGTGAAAAAATGCTACTAAAAATACAATTTCAGCTTCTCTGGATTCATTAATTGGTTTAACATTATTTGGTAATCTCACATAGGCCTTGACCCTGGATTTAACCCCAAATGTTTACCCTTTACACTAAAAGGTAAATGAAATATAACACTATTATTGTGAATTTCTTTGTAGTCACAAATGATAACTTTAGGTTAAGCCTAATCGGGTAAAAAGAGACTGACATGTCATAATGACACCTAATTTATTATTTACAGCAGTAATCAATTCCCTGACTCACAAACAACTCATTACATCCAACACATATAAATCAATCTTGTCTGGGAACCTTAGGATGTCCACATATTACCGTATAAAGCGTCCCACATAACCTAACTGCACCCTGAACTCACACTATAGGCTGGGGCAGGCGAGCTAAACTGGAGAAATTCGCGAGTTGTTATTGACTCGCCCACTGCAGTCGCCGCGTTTAACAGGCGACGTCCATCAGCGGCGGTGGGTGCGTTCATTCATTGCACCCAAGTTCTTCACAGTTTATGTATTTATGTTGATTACTTGTTTCATTTCTCTTTTATGTTGTTTGGGTTTGTTATTATTTGGGGGCTTATTTATATTTCAGTGAAAGATTTCTATTTTTTTCGGCAGAAACTGAGTTGCGTGTTTCTTGGGTGAGTCATGCACATGGGCCATTTTTTGGATGCATTTTAAATATTTACGATATCTTCCGCTAGAAAATTGGCAGCTATTCTCGTGCAACTAAAAATAATTCTTATTACATTTCTTATGATCAACATCAATATAATTTATACAACTGCTGCTATTGCTATTTCAATTTATTATAATTGATGCTATTGTTACTACTACTACTGCTGCTGGGCTACTCAGTCACCAGCATTAATCATGTCGGAATTCATTGCTACTACTTGAATTGACATATAATGGGTTCACCAGAAAGATACCAGTATAAATTATGTAGATCTCCGCTGCAGCTGTGTAATTACCAGTCTTTAAAACATTGGTAATTTCCCTTTGCCTCTCTAGTATAGAATACTTATGTGTACATTAGTAACAAGACTGATCAATGAGAATCCATTATGTGCTGACTTCACAGGGTCTCTGCAGATTAATCCTGCATTAAAGGTTTTCCTAATCCCACCTCCCTTACGAGAACCAGCAATAGGTGGCTGCGGCGGAGAGCCCTCCCCCCATATTTTGGAGCTACAAGAGCTCCTAACCCGGCGTGGGTTAGACTGATTGCACATATATTGACGCAGCTCTAAAGTTTGGTTATCCGCTGCCGTCAGATAACGAGAGAGAGGTTGTGAGGATCGCATGTCACCAGAAGTGAAGGGAAGACCACTGTCACCAGATGTCAACGTGGCGGGAGTGGTCTTAGTGCAGGTGAATGAAAAAGATCTTGCCTTGTGGGTTTATCACTGAAGGTAGATGTGAGACCTCCAAGAGACTCCTGTCTTCCCGGGTGCCGAGGACGGAGAGGTGACGAGGTATGCTGTTCGCCTGTTTGCGTATCTCTCCCTTCTAGTTGACGAAACTTCTTTTATGCAGGGACTCTCGTCGAGGGAGGTGCTTGCTTCCCTCCGCAGAAGTGTCAGAAGCGAAAACAGCGCCGACATCATTGTCCCCTTAAGCAGGACCTTTGCTACTGAAAGGCAGCTGATAGGGACAGAGGTGTGAAGGTAATATCCGTCCTTGTTGGATATTGTTTACAGCCTCTGAGTACCGGTCATCCTGTCTAGAAGCTCGCAAAGACGACTTCTGTGAGTGGATGTGACCAGACTTCGACATTTAACCCATTACCGACGGACATGGCATATACGTACATGCCATGCCCACTGTGAGTTTACTAGTTTAATTGTTTACACGCATGGATGGCTACACTTGTACTAAGTCACCAATGAGCCAATTACGAGTACTGCCTGCCTCGCTCGTTCACCCTTTCATCGATTTACGAAAATATTTTACGTTATCTTTTTGGGTGTTACTAAAGTTTATAACATTATAGTAATTATAATGTTTAAAAAATTAAAGAATAACACCATCGATATTCATAGCACTACTAAAAAATACGTGTTTCCAGCCAATTCAAGGAAAGGTGAAACAAGGTAAGGTCACAAGATCTACTAATTAACTCCTTTGTAACTAAGCACTAAGCAGAGCGATATATGTGCAGAAACATTTCACAAAAATATAAACAATGAGTACAGCATTTTCCCCATTTTTTAATTCATTTTCCCCAACGGCAATGAGTTAATGGAGAGACACTAGCCCCCTGCAGCCTGCAGCACATATGGAGGACGAGGAGGCATAGGGGTTCCTTGTCGACAAGTGCAACAGCGTCGACAGCTGCCTTAATATAGGCGATAGAGACGGCAACAACGTGGCTGCGACATCCTACTGTTCTTACCCGATCGAGAAATTGCAAGTATAACCGTCGTCAAAGTAGGCGATGGGATGGCCTCAGACGTCATTAGATTGCTTCCAGTCAGTTAGATGAATAATACCTTACGTGTGACAAAGACATTCCCAGTTGGTTGGAAATAAAAGCCAAAACATCATATTCTGGCACATTTATAAGATACAATGTTCTTGCCATGGGATATAGGTCTGACTCATTTCTAGGATTCGCGGAGTCGCAATCCTGGGAAGCCATACCGATGATCAACACCCTCGACGCAACAAGACCCCTTGCCTTGTGGGGGTAGTTCTCGAACAGCCACATTGCTTCACCTTGGTATCATCCAGGGAGAGAGGCTGTGACCTCTCTTGTAGCAGAAGTCCCTCTTGACATAGTTTATCAATGAAGGAAACAAAGAGGTTCCCTGGCAGTATTATGGCCGTCCATACGACGCTTGTCAGGAGGTGCCTCCGCCAGTTCCAGGACAACACGGACTCCTAGTTGCAGATGGCTAGTGTCGGATGAATTGGGGCGCCGTGACCCAGATCCCGATTGGCGGTTACAAACGCATCGGTCAAGAAAATATCTGCAAAGTGCTTCTTATGTCAGGCATGACGACGTGCTGGGGATGTATGTGAGATATTGTACAAGAAGTATGAGAGTAGAAGTACTCACCCTATGTCCTGTCACCCTTTTGATAATTCGTTTAGCTTGTACTGAATGGCGTAGCTAAGGGGGAGAAGGACGATTTTTCACTGCCACCAGACCCCCGGTGGAGAAAAAATAAATATTTGTTTGAAAACGAGAAGAAAAGGGGCTTTCTTATTTTATTTAGTTATTTTTTGCAAACCGTGTCGGAAAGGTTAACAAAAATGAGCACAAATAAGCAAATGCATGTCTATTTTATTATTATTATTTTTATCAAACCGTGTTTGATTGATAACAAAATGCTCAAACTGGTCTCGTTAGAAGGGGCTGACCACAGATTTCATCAGTTCTGAAGAAGAGGCGAGTAAGGGGAAACCCATGGAGTAAGTAACCAGAGGGCAGGTAAAGTCAGGTTAAAGGGTTGGGTGGTCTGTAATAAAAGTGGCCGGCTGAGAATGCCCTAGGAAAAATAAAAAGCTGACATTGTTGAAATTCTCTTCTCAAAGATTCTGCACTGCTGTGGGCTCTCGCCTCTCCGGTCTGGCAGTCTTACATATGGAGTACTTGAGTCCGAGTTTCTCCCCTCCATATACCATGGTCTTTCACCTTCACCTCCTCCCTCTCTATACATTCTGAAAGACGGATATGAGGCTTTCTTTGAATAAGGCTCGCTCTGTCCCTAAGTCCAAAATTATCGAGCAAGTAGGATTACGCTGGTCCCGTTTGACAAGTTCATAATAACGACCCTCCCCTTGTGTTCATATACGTGTCTAGACCCGCCATCACCATAGGTCGTGTCACTCCATAACCGATGACACATTATCACCCAATCTCAGACTCTTCAGACAT